GCACTCAGTGGCCCAGTGTTCCTTGCAGCAGAGCTGGGTTTTCCCATCCAAGTACTGGGATTTTACCTCCAGGACCCAAGTTTTAGCCCAGCTCTACTCACTGGGGCACAGAGCAACGCCCCAGAAGGACACAGCAGATCATGGCACACCTGGTACCCAAGGGACAGCTGACACAGTCTGAACACTGACTGGTGATGACCACTGTCGAACAAGACACCAGCTCAGCACAAGCACTATGCATGCACCCAGAGCTAGCTTGTGGATAAGCAGCAACAAGTGAAAACCTTCTTGTCTCACCCTAAGCCTCGGGCTCAAGCACAGGACATGAGCCTGGAGCCAGCTTTGCTCGTGAGTGACGCCTGCAGGGGGTCTGTAAGCTGCCACTCATCCCCTTCGAATTTAAATTCATGCTCCTCTCTCAGCTCCCAGCGGGGATATTGAGGTGGCACCAAGTGTGCTGCAAGCAAAACAGAGTTCTCTGCAACGGCACCAGCGGGATTATGAGAGCTTTGTCAATATTTGGCCAGAATGGAGGTGAAACTGAACCAAGTGAGGCTAAGAAATAATGTCAGATATTGGATTGTGAAGTGTAGTTGATCGCCCACAGTGGCAGCTATTGAGGCAGTACCAGCTGCTAAGCTGAAAAGCCCTTTTTTTTCCCTTTTCCTCCCTTCCTTTGTATTTTAACTTCAAGTAAATTGATCACAAATTACATATTGTGCAGCCACAGAGCTGGCTGGAACAGAAAACCAGCAACCTGGAATGCTCCGCAGGGAGAGCTAATCCACAGCTTGTTCCATGCTAATAAGGGAAGAGCAGAGTCCTTCCATGGAGCTGCCCAGGGACCAGCAGTGTTCTCCCCCAGTGGAGGGACTGAAACAGGCCAGGTCCTTCCCAGGGAGAGATGCTCCCATGGAGGGACCAAGCTTTGCTGACATTGTGGTGCCCACACCCAAGGGAACAGGGTGGGATACAACAGCAGTGGAGCGTGGCCACAGGGGTCCCAAGGAGATGACTTTCCATAGCAGGTGTCCCCACCATGAGAACCATTAGGAGCAGCACCTTGCTATGGTACACCTTGCTGGTCCCCTCTGCCATGGAAAGCGTAGGATGCTCAGTCCTCTCCATCTCCATGACTCCAATGCCAACAGCTGTTTGTAGCCTTTTCAATCACCACTGCTTTGAAACAGCAGATGTTTCATCTCAGAAACATGGACATGGTCAGAACTGTGACATTTCAATCAGAGCAGCCCCTTGTGCTCAAATTCAGGCCAGGCTTTAGGCTGCAGTGGTGGCAGCCCTGGGATGGTCCCAGCCCCTTCCTCCCATGCCACACACCCTGCACACCCATGAGGAACAGGGTACTCATGGGTCCCCCTTCTCCTCGCACACCACACCTGGGTGGTGCTGGCATGGGAGTCCTCAGAGCTGGAAAGACAGGATTTGTCCCCATGCTGAATCTTTCAACCCTTCCCCCAACCAAGCTGCACCCTGAACAGATCCTGGCATCTGCAACCTGCCATCCACCCTCCCATCAATCCATCCATCACCAACCTCAACCCTGCACCCCAGCGTGCTGTCCGTGGGGACACAGGATCCCTTCACTCTCAAAGCCCAGCTCCATCCATCCCCAAGTGCTCTGGGCCCCCAGGCAGTTCCTGGGGCAGACAGCAAGACACAAGGCTGCTTCACCACCAGGCCACCACTGCACACAGACTTCCCACCCAGCAGCTGTGTAAAATGACAAGAAGCCCAAACGTTTTTCTAAAGAATTAGAAAAAAAAAAAAAAAACAACGATGCAAAAGTCAGATTTCATTGTCACACCAAATCCAGTGTTAGTTCAAAAGCAGCGACAGATGGCTCTGCATCCCATATCCCTCAGCCACCACCAGGGGTTGGAGGACACGTGTCCCAGCATGGAGCAGCACCACCATCAGCAGTGCCACCGCACAGCACTGCTGCATGCCTGAGCACCAGGAGCTCAGGGCAGGATCTGGACATTCCCTGCACAGCAAGCAGTACTCTGTCCCCCAGGACAGACTGCGTTTCAAGGACACGGGTCTCCATCCCTTCCCTCCTGCACTGGGGCACACAGGTCCTGTCCCCCCCCTCCCGCACAGCCCAAGAAGAGCATGGAGGCAGCAGTGATTTTTCAACTGGTCATTGTAGATCTCCAGCTCAAAAATCTCAGCAAGATGCAGAGCTGTGGGCTCAGTGCCTGAGCCATCTGCTGCAAGCACAGCCTGAGCATCCCCGCTCCCTCCCCATGCTGCTCCCACCACCACGTCTGGGAAGGTGAAGGAACACTGAGAGCACCTGAGAGGGCTGCAATCCCACCACACAATGCCCCACGGACCACGGGTCCCACACTCTGCCCTGCCATGCCTCTAAATGCTCCCTTAGGGGCAGAGGGAACCTCCACCCACCTGGCTGCTCCCTGAGGCCAGAGACCCCCTGGTGCTGCAGCACCATTGGTACTTCAGGATAAGAAAGGGAAAGCGAAAGATGAAAACAAAAAAAAAGAAAAAAGCAAGGAAGAAATTATTTTCATTAACGGTTGGCAGCCGACCCCCCTCCTTGCTGAGGTGGCTCGGGAGCAGGGCTCTGGCCCACGGGCACCAATGCCTCAGAGTGGAGAGCCACAACGCCTGGCTCACAGCGATCCCCGAGCACAGCGAGCAGCCCGAGCTGTTCGGTGCTGCCACGTCTGTCTAGAGATGCAGCTTTGCCTCCCAGTGTTCATACCCGATATTGCACTCTGATGGGATCCGCCGAGCTAACCTCGGACAGCACTTTCAGCTGTACCTCTGGCTGATGCCCAGCCCAGCCCTGCTGTTGCCTGTGACACTCTCAGGCTGGGATGCTGTCAGAACCCCAGAGAAGGCTCAGTTCTAAACCTCAAACCCTGTTCTCTCATGCCAATACCTGAGCTCCAGGAGTTGGCCATTCCTGTCCCTGTTGCTGCCTGCAGAGAGCAGAGCTCAGTGCTGCCCTTCTGCCTGGCCCCGCTGGGTCCCTCCTGCTGCTGACCAAGAAAAGCTCAATTGTACATGGAGGTGGTCATGAAGAAGGATGGTGGACATCACAGCAGGTAGCAAGAACAGAAGCACAAGAGCAAGCACATAGCAAAGTACAGGAGAAGCCTAAAAACAGCAGAGTGGTATGATCCAGATCAGCTGGAAGCAGCCATCCCCCCATCCTTCTCACCCACGGGGTGGTCAACAAGGGATGCTCTTGGCTGCAGCTCTGAGATGACATGTGGAAGGACATTTTGGGGTTCCCACAGGCAAGAGAAGGAGAAACCTCCAAAGACATTCCAAAATGTGGGCTGAAAGTCCTGTTGTGGCTAGCCAGCCCTGGGCTCAGGAGATGTCAATCCAAGCTGAAACACCCAGAGAGAGAGATGGAGGCTTGGATGGGCTGCTGAGAGCCATGGGATCTGGAAAGCATTACTTTTATTTAATGGACCTTTGTGTTTGAAAATTAAATCAAGAGAACTCTTGTATTTGCCACAGGGCTGAGCATAAGCTGAACACGCAGGATTTAGAGGCGGAAGAGCTTTCCAGATGAGCAGAGTGCAATTTTGTCATAAGAACCAAAATAATGATAAAAATAACTAGCATAGGAGAAAGGGAGCTGTGAGTGCAGCATACAAACGTCAAACTTCAGATCCTCTCAGCAGAACCACAATAAAAGGGCTTAACCTATTATATCAATTAGTGGTATTACATCTCTAGACTGAGAAGAAACTCATTCTCACAGGCAGGCTAATTTCATACATGCTCTGCATTCAGGGGCTTTGGCAGTGTGGTGAATTTTAACTCGTAAATAAAAGATCTAAGGCTACCAAGGACTGATTCCATTCATACAAAGCAGCACTGGACAGAGCAATGGATTTTCATTGCTCTTGGGAGGAGAGACCCCCCCCACGTACCAACTCAAGCGGTCTCCAGCCCGGGGGAGGACATGTGCTGAGCTTTATGGTCAGAACTACTAAGAGCAAGGCCTTCTCTGCTACTCCCTTGCAGCTTCTGCAACTGCTCTCTGCATTGCTCACCCGACTCTCAAAGTAGAAAGATGGTAATTGGTGTGATGAACTCCTGAGCCTTTAAGGAGCCATCACACAGCAATTTCTTTCCTGACTCCCCCAACCCAAACACACAACATAATGACAAACACTTCCCTGCCACTGCTGATGGAAGCACCCTATGTCCCCAGGGTCAAAGTACAAATGCAATGTCCTGCCTTCTCTTCCTCTATAACAAAGGTAACAATTGCCTCCTCTGCAAAAGGTTGAAAACATTGTAAGGACAAAGTCGTGATGAGGCCCATCAATTTGGACTACATTTCCACCTTAAGTTCCAGAACCATACAAAATCCAACAGCAATAAAGCTTTTCCAACTTTGCTGGGGAAAAAAAAAAGAAAAAAAGATTAACTGAAAACCTGAATCTGGATTCCAGTTTTCTGCGTGCCTCCTTTAACAACAAATTAACAACAGATCTACAGAAGAACACTGATACACCACAGAGGAGCTCAATGAGGGCAAGTTACCTGCCAGTGGATTGCTATCAGGGACTGCTTCCCCAAGAAGGGAGAAACCCCAGGCACTGCGGGCAGGCTGAGGTACCAGGTGGTGCTTCTATCACTTACCATTTCTGAGCTTCTACTTCAGAACCTTTAACAGCATGAGCAGTGCTGTGAGATTTCTTGTCTTCCAGCTAACCTCAGCATTCCTGCTCAGACACCTTGCTGCATTTGAGATGGTCAGCTGTAACTCCTATAAAATACTAGGGCTTTACAACACATTTTGTTAGCACATAGCACAATGGATGTCATTTCTATGACAAAAAGTGATAAAGCCAAGGCTCTGATCTTGTCTGTCCTTAAACCTGTTGCTTCTGTTATGAACCCAGCTTTCACTTCTCCTTAGCGTGGATTTTGATGATGTCCCCCAGGAGATTATTGGAATGAATGAACAGAAACAGGAGTCCTTTGGCTACTTTGCCCAGCTAAGACTTAAGTTTTATGCAAGCAAATTAAAGCCAGATCACCAACATTCAACTAGCTCTGAAGATTGCTTAAACATCATAAGGAACTGATGACAGTAGTCACAGATGAAAATTAATCAAGATATTTAATACAGTGCAATCCATAGTAGTTTCTTAATTAAAATAATTGTGTGCATGTATCTGAATGGGTTATCAATTATCACAAAAAGCAATAAACATTGTAGTGCTATGTAGAAAAATGTACAACTGAAATTTAAATCTTCCCTACTTCCAAGATAGCATTTGTCAATTGCAGATCATTATCACCAATTAAAATGGGAATAGAGACTACGTTGTTGCAGTGACAGACACAAGGCTGGCCACACATCAGTCAAGGGATATAAATATAACTTGCAAAGAACTAAAAACCTAAAGTATTCCTGCACCTAAACACAATAAGAAGCCGATGGTGGCTTTACCACTTTTCCTTTTTTTTTTTTTTAAATGCCTTACAAGACTTCTAAACACACTTAAACTGACTTAAAATTACAGAGTGCTTTTCAGCTCATTTCAATTCAATACGCCCAAACGTTTGAAGATGAAGATCCAGCAGTGGCATTAGCACAGTCCAAAAAGCTGAATGTTTAATTTTGCAAATACCTTTTTACAGAAATTCAACCGTACAAACTGCAGGCAATTCCCTCTGCTCCCCTCTCTTTCCTTTGTGCAGACCACGCTATGCAGAAAACAGCAACGCAGTTCCCACTGCTTCAGGTTAAAATTAAAGATAAAGACATTTTACTTATGCTTTCTCCTCAACACAATATATTTGCACCCAGAACAGGTAATCAAAGTCTTTTTCCAGCCAATTACTGCTGTGGTTACATGTTTCCTGCCCAAGCTTCCAGCTCTTTCATGTCATCATCCTCTTCTTCCTCTTTCTTCTTGGCTGCAAAATATTAAAAGATCAATGAGTTACAAATGGGAATCTTGGCAGAACCCTGCAACCACTCAAGGAGAGCAGCCTCCATGCCATCAACCTAACCAGTAAGGGAGACACCAAATGCTAGTTGAGGATGTGTGAAATGTTACACCAGGCCTTCTTCAACTGAACCAAAGGTACCTTCTGAAAATCCATCATGGACTAAACTTTCTGAAGACACCACTTAAAATGAGGAAAATTAATAGGAAAAATGCAAACACAAATGAAGGTACACCAGTGGTATCTGCTGTTTGCCATAAGCACCACACCATACAGCAGGACACCCTGAGCCTTCAGTGTGAGTCCCTCCCTGCAGGATACAGTTTCTTACAGCAGCTTTTCTCCAGTATCACAGTCTCACAAATAAATTCCTTACTGCATCAGTAAGTCCTCAAACTGCAAGAATACACAGAGGGTTTTGGTACAGCTGAGTACAGAACTTGGAGACTTCCAACTCTTGTGTTGTTATGCTCTTTCAGGTGCTGAGGAGCTAACAAGCCAGGTGCTGCATCCCCTCTCTTGCCATGATCACATGTGCAGATGTGAAGCAGCAGCCTGCACATGTTGCCCTGCAGTTTGCTCCAGGGGAGCAAACAAGGCTGTTTGTTCTAATACAGTTAAGTCCAATTTCTGGAAGGAAGACCATTAACTAAGCAAAACATTTTAACCCAGAAATTGCTACAGCAACTTCTTTGGAAAAAAAAAAGGGGAAGGGAAAGGGGAAAAGTTCTTCCTCAGACAGTATTCTAGCTTCAAAATTGTCCTGTTTCTAAAAGGGAAAAAAAGAGTCGAATAATTCATGCTCCAAACAGCTTGTGTCATTTTAATGACACATTCATGTAAAAGGGAATGGAGTTAGCTTTAAGTCAAACTCAAAACCTACTGCTTGTACAAGTTTGGAATTCCTTTTTCTAAATTAAGCTTATCCAGTCTCAGCTAAACAGAAACAGCTTTTGCCTGAATTCCTCCAGACATCAGTACAGCTGGCAGGCAACAAAAACCCTTCTCATTTAGACTGATTACTTCAAAATCCAGGCAGCTCCTGAGAACTGAAAAGGCAAGAAAGTTCATGATCACTTCCCACCCAATGAATAAAAAGGAGGTAATGGAGTCATGCACCTGAGCTGTCAGGTAAAGCAGTCCCACTGAAATCTGCCCAGTAACAACTCGAAGTACTTTTAATCCTAATACAATGCAAAAGGTATCTTTAGTTTCAGGTTGGTACGTTAACAAACTTCATGAAAACAGCTACACAGTAAAAAGACAATGCCCAGATTTATCTAAAAACTATTTCTCCTGCTGTTGAATCTGAATTTGGATTAAGGCACTGATTCAAGATACTTTCAAGCAACTCGCTGCTCTCTCATCAACACTTGTTAGCCACTCTGCCTTGCAAAACAGAACCAATGCAATATCAGTTACATCTAAAAAACAAACAGCACACAAGAAGAAAACTTCACAACAAGCCACCTGAAGCAGAACCTTGTTGTTTGGCATCGTATGTTGCTTCCCAGGCCTTCAATTATTCCAGAAGCAAGATAATTACAGATACACTGACAAGCAGTTGGGAATATTCTCACCCTCTAGCTGTTTGGACCTCTTTTTCCTCTAAGAAAGCACACAAAACAGAGCTACAAAGTCTACAACTTCCTTGGAATACCTTATGGCAAATTTAGCAAAACAGATAGCAAAACTTCACATCCTGTTAATGCATGTCAAAAGTATTCCAAATCAACTATATTTCATGAGGTATCACTTCTAGTTCACAGAAGCAATTAGTGCTGCTTGAAAAGCAGCTCTAAACTGTCTGTGTAAATGCTAACACTTCTTGGCCACTCTTCATGTTACATCATTATACTAGTTTTTGCTAGATACAGGTGCTGTAAAACTGGCATGACTACAAGTCTGCTACTGCTTGGCTTGAGTACGTACAAACCACAGGCAAAGAAGAAAAGAGTGGACTCCAAACAAGACTGAGTATAAACAGATTAGGTCCTTCTAAGAGCCAGAAGAACTGGTATCAAATTTAAATAAAGCATTACCAAGGAAGTATGGTTCAGTGTGGGTATCTAAACCAGCCTGGAACTAATTCCAAGAGCTAACGAGCTCCCAACTCAACTCCCTTTCTTTTATACCCATAGGCTGCTGGTCAGGATTACTTCCCTGCTGCATCAGCAGCAACCAGTAGGAGGCTGCTGCTAACTTCTTTCTTCCACACCTCCACTCTACCTTGAGCATCATTCCCACCAAAGTTAAACTGTAAGTGCTACAACAGACAATAATTGTTCCTGTGATAGTTATTAGCTTTCACAGTTCTTATCAAAGGCAGGTTACTTCCTTGGATAAATGGCACTAGATATAACTTGGAACTCATGAGGCCATTTCATGTGACATGTCTGCACTGCCTGCAGCTAGGATTCTCTAATCAGGGGAACTGGAAGTTAATTGAGGGTGCACTGTAAGAACCCCAGGTGTTTCTGATCAACACTTACCTGGCTTTGATGGTATTGATATTGAGGGCACATTTGGTAGTGGTACTGTTTCGGGACCACTTATTTCCAGCAAGTTTTTGTCTAATTCTTCTTGTTCTAGTTCCTCTAGTTCTGCCATGAGTTCATCCTAGTTTTATAAAGGGATAAGAAAAAATAAGAACAAACTTTTAGATCACATTTACTATCAAGCAGATTTAGCCAGCCATATTATTGCAGAATAGCCTAAATGCAAAGGATCAGTGCAAACTGAGGAGATAAAGAGCCTGAATCTTCATGTGAATTCCCATATTCCTCTCTTGGAGGAGACTGCAAAGATATGTAAGTCCAAATATTACCAGATCAGGTCATCCAGACCATCCTCAGCATAAAGTCATGTTCACAGTTGTTGTATGCACTGGCAGAAATAGCAAGCTACAAATTCCAGGAGAGATTTACTATCTTACTGCTATTCCTAGAAACACGTAACACATAGATCTTAAAAGAAATATTTTTATTTAAACAGATGAAAAATTCAAAGCATACCTCATCAAACTCTTCCCCAAATCCTACTGGCTTCGAGATGGCTGTTGAGATCTCATCTGCCAGCTCTTGCTGTTCCGCAATGTCCTGCATTAATTCATCAACTTTATCAATATCCCTATAAAACAAAGGAAAGAGGAGGTCAATCAGGCACTTTCCCAAGCAGAGCTTAAGACTGTATTTTCTTTCTTTCTTTCCTTTTTTTTTTCTTTTTTAATAATGCCACACTATGGTGACATTTTACAAGGTTATTTCTAAAAAACCTACTTTGTATGCACATCTAAGTTTTATCCCTCTGTACCTCAATCCCTAGTCTCAATAAAGTTATGCATAATTTCTTGTTTCACTTCCCAAAAGCTTAGCTCACAGCAGTTACACACAGAGAGCTCATCTGGAAAGGTTCTGGTTTGTATTTTTGATATTAATAATCATTTGCTCTGTTCCCTGTTCCAGCATTATTACATTACGCCTACAATATTTGCTTTTGGAAGAAGTACAACATTCCCATAATGCTTTAATTATTGCTACATACACAAACTCCACAGCAAAGAAAGAATTTTAACCCTCCCCTTGAGGCTGGAAACTTGCTGTTTGCAGGCAGATCCATATGTGGTATGCCCTCCTATCTGCTTTAGACCCCACTGGTGGCAACCTTCTGCTGGGCAAAGACTGTCTGTGTGCCACGAGTGGCTTCATGTTGTGTGAAACAATGCCAAATTGAGGAAGCATTCATCCTTCATATCTTGGCAAATATCCACATATACCTCATGTTTTATTTGTATTTAAGCTATAGACTTTTGAAAAGAAGATTTTACTACACTGGCTCTATTACTTGTTATAAAATATGTGATATTTAGCTTATCAAACAAACATCAAACTAAGGGTCCTACGGAAAGAGACAGAGGGGAACAACTTACATGTTGTCATGAGCAGCTTTCATAGCTTTAGCAGCAAAGCCCATATTCTTAAGCACTTCAGTGTTGGTGTTGGCATTCTCCAGGGCTTCCCTCTGAAATTCAATTGTGGACAACGTGCCATCTATCTGTGCAAGCTGCTTCTCATACCTCTTCTTACGCTTTAGGGCCTGAAGAGCAGCTGAGCAAAGGAAAGAAAAGTAGGATTTGTGAGATTTGTGATGCAGCCAGCCACTGTTTTTTAATCAAATGCCACTCAGTACACAGCAATATTCAGCACACTGCATTGTTTGTCTTATGGTTGCCTACTTGCTTAAAGGTGGCCAAGTAAGCACTGACCATCTGCAGCTGGCAGCTCAGCCAGTTGTAACAAGCACAGAGACCTGGCTGCTGCAAACAGCACACTTCAATACACAAGCTGATGCACTCAGAAACATTTTTGTTCCCCCCAGTACATCCCAGTATGGTTGCTGGTGCAGTGACTGTCAGTTGAGGTTATGGTGCTGCCGTGCAGCTGCTGGTAGTAGAAACTCAGTCAAACAGGAAGCGAGAAAAGCTCTTTGTTTTGCTGCTGGATGCTGTGATGTATGCATATGTAAACAAACACTGTGCATGTTTCATGTTACTCTTGCTACAGGATACTGCCCACACTGCAGCCTGGTGCACGCTCCCTTCTGAAACATAGTGCACACAAGCTGGATTTACCAGTAATCCCGCCTGTAAGTAGGGAAAGGTTCAGTAGGAGCAGCACTGTATGGGCAAAGCGTTACCAAGCATGAAGCATCACTGTCTGATGAGCAACAACCAAGTGCAACATTAAGTGAAGCATACAACTACAACTTCCTCCACAGTACTTCTGCTTCTGACACAGACAGACTTCTTGTCCACTGTGTGATGGACTTAGCCACATAACATGTTCATCTTGTTTAAATGCTCAACTTACAGGCACGGAATCACAGAGTTGGATGGGACCCACAGGGATCACTAAGTTCCAACTTCCAGATCCACACAGCAGCACCCCAACCCAAACCCTCTGGCTGAGGTTGGTGTCCCAGCGCTCCCCGAGCTCCAGCAGCTCAGGCTGTGCCCGCTGCCCTGCAGCCTGTGCCATGCCCACCGCCCTCTGGGGCACAGCCTTTCCCTGACACAACTCCATGCCCTCAGGCCCTGTCGCTGTCACAGAGAGCTTCACAGAGAAATGGAGCTGCTGAGCACCATTTCCCCGGGTCTCCACACAGACCAGTGCCATGCACAAGGAGTGGTGAAGCTTCATATCTTCACAGTGCCCTTCCAAATCCCTCCCTGTTGTGATTCCCTAGCAGATTTTGGAGGACTGGGGCAGCAAGGAGGAGGAAATCCTGCCAGCAGACAGCTCCCCTGTATCCTCTTCTATAGCAACAACAGCTGTGACACAGTGAGCATCTCTCTGCAACAGCAGCAAAATACCTCAGCTCCTGAAAGAGGATTAAGTCTGCAGAGAAAGCTGACAGACACCTCATGTATTGTCAGATGCCATCTTGAGAAGCCCTCAAGATAACACCCCAGAGTCATGAAGAAGAACACATCCTTCCAGTCCTCTAAGCAGCCATGAATATGCTCGGATTAATTTCTAATTCCTCCAATGTACTGGAATAGCAACACTGAACAGAGCCACTTTGTGCAGCCATGGCTGAAGTTGCCAAGCATCCTGCGAGGCCCAAGGGCTGATTTAGCAGATGTGACCAGAAGGACAAACAAAGGTCCCCCAACTTCTCCAGCACAAGCCCAATGCCAAACCTAAGGCACTTCAGTGCCCCCCATCCCAATGGGGTAAATCCCCCTCTATTCTGGGGCCAACCTCACAGCCCCAGCAGCTTTCATTTGGCACAAGCAGGAACAGGACTTAATTTTCATGTCACACAAAGGCCAGCATTTGTTCTCCAGAATGAGACACAACACAGATATCATGTGGAACATTCCAGCTTGATGCCAAGCACAGAAAGAAAAGCAGTGATGAATTTCTGGTACATTTGGTCTGGTTAGCTTAGCACTCATTGTTTAATTAATGATAGGTAAAGTTATCTTATAAAGAAAAAGCTGTCAGTATCGTTCATATACTGGCAGATGCTGAGAAGCACCAAACAGAATTCACAGAATCGCTCAGGTTGGAAAAGACTTTGGAGATCATCGAGTCCAACCACAACCTAACCATACTAGTGATGAAACATTCTTTATTGAGCATTCTATGCATCATGGAGAATTACAGCAGAATCAGAGACCTTACAACCATTACACAAACCTAAGTACAACAATTTATGTACAGCTCCCCACTGTAACTTTTTCTAAAAACAGGGAAACATCTACATTTCCTTCTTGTGTACTTTTAGAGCAAGCAGCCCTGGTAACAGTGCAAGCATCACTGTGTAAGAGCATGTGTGATCAGGAGTGGCCAAGAAGTGTCAGCAGACACTTCTGCTTCCCTTTCTGCTGTCAGGGCAATGCAAGGATAAAGCTTCCAGGACCGGGGTGCCCACCTGCACCCAGCTGAGCAAGAGATGAGGGCATGCACAATGCTTCTGTGCCTGGGCACATTGGGATGGATATCCAGGGCAGAGCAATGAGCATCGAAGTAATACATGGGCTTCTGCAATGAAGAAAACCTTTCAGAACAGACTGATGTTTCCTGCAACTAAAAAGCACCAAAACAGACAACAAAGCACTTAGTGGCTCAATTGAGACTATCACAATTTCCTGCAATCTATTGCCATCCGTGTCCCCTTGCTTTATCATCTCAATGTAAAGTTTGTATCTGAAGCAAGAAGATCTTATTAAGCTGATTATTATTATCATTATTTTTAAAGTTAACTTAAGTCACATTTGTTTCCAAGCTTGTCACAGTTCAGTTGGTTCCCAATTTCCTCCTAGGGCTGATTTCTCCATTCTCAGGTTTCAGGAAGAACACATCACTCCCAACACCCCCAGCACAGAGTTCTGAAGCAAATTCCAGAGCAAGGGCACCCCTGGGGCCAGCAGGAGAGCTGTACAGCCTTACAAAACAGACCATGCACGGGGGACAACCTCCAAACTCTACTGGAAACACACCAGGAACAGCCTTCACCACTGCAAACATACTCATTGCTGTCACACTTCACAGGGCAGTGGTACCTGGTGGGAGTGCAGATCTCAGGGCACAGTTCTGAGCTAGAACTGCTTCCCCTCTGCTCTTCTATTTAAGCTTTGATTTCTGAAGACAGATGAGTGGTTCTGCTGCCTTCACCTTGCAAAGCAGTCTTTACCATCTGCATAAATACCCACTGAATTCCTTCATACTGTCCAAGTTACACATTTTTATTACATTTTCAATGAAGCCAAAGCAATGAAAGCTTATTTTGAAAGAAACTGCATTAAATCTTTTCTATCTACAAAATCAATTTCCAGAACTTGAAATAAATCTGAAGGAGAGGCAGTTGGCCACTGATGCATCTTCCAGCATTGTAGTATTTCACACACTGGCAAGGAACCGGTGTGCCTCTGAAGTCCAAGTGTAATACAGCCCATCTCTGTTCTTCCTGAGGACAGCTATTGTTTTTAGCAGTCATGGAACAGGATGGCTCTGGGCTGGCACCTTTAATTAAACCTTTACTACTTCCAAGGTAGCAGTGACATCAGCAGGCGCTGTAATTTCACACCCATAATGGCCATGGAACTGCTTCTGCAGGACCCACCACCATTTATTCTGCTCTGAGCATTGCCCCCAGGCAGACTCATTGCACTCCCACCCTCAGCCTGCTGCCAGACACCTTGGCAGGAGCTGACCTGCATTTGCCATGCGTGCCAATTTCCTTACCTTAGAATAAAACAAAACAAACAAAAAAGCTGTGTAAGGTTACAGGATCACTGGAGCAGCATCTTACAGCAGCTTCTGTGAAGTGCCTGATAAATTCAGAAAGAAATAAGGACCAAAAGTCATTCCCCTCACTTTGTGTGCTGTGTATTTCTTAGGAGAATACATGCCTTTGCACCGAGTAAGGGTTAGCACTGCTAACCTAAAAACAGCAAGGCTTTGGGTGCGTTAACTTGTTCTTGAATTATTCCTCTTTGTATAGAAAAACAGCAGTACTTCTTCAGCTGCTCTAGAAGGGGAGAGATTTTGCTTGTCTTTTTATTCTCTTTAACTCAAACCTCTTGCAGGTTGTACATGAGGAAGAGACAGCAACTGCTGACCTACAACCAACAGATCACCCTCTCCACCTGCTAAATAGATGAGCTGAGCTGATGAGAGAAGCAAAGCCAGGCAGTAGACTTTGAATTCACTGTTTAAAAAAAACAGAAGATCAATGCTTAAGATAATCTTCACTTAATGAATCAAAGCAAGCCCCAGCATAGCAAAAATATTCAATCATCCCATGAAAGGTAGCTGTGGATGGGACATCAGACCCAACCTGCACCGATGAGGATCGAAGTGATCAGAGTACTATCCAGCCAGACTGGCTGCTTGCATTACTTCAACCTAGAAACATGTCCAAAAGTAAGTTTAATATCACAGCCTTCTTAGAAACTCAGACTTCTTGACATATTAAAAGGCATTTCTCCCTTCATTTTTACAGCCCTAGAATATTAGTTTGTGTACAGCTGATAAGCAGGAACCAGTGTCACAATGTTCAGCCACTTCTCCCCCTGAGTAATGAATGTTCTCAAGTGAGAAGGGGAAATGCCCATGTTCCAGCTGCCTCACCCAGACTTACTGCCTGACAAAACACCACAGTCTGCCAAATAGTTTCGCTTTCTTTTCTAAAATTGCAGTCAGTCTGGAAGACTTTTATGCAATTGTTAAAGATATTTCAACCTGGACATAAACAACTGTTAACAGAGCTGTCATAAGTCTAAAATCTGTCCCAAAATATATATGTATGCAGCACTTTAGTGCAAGAAAACGCCCATAGTGACCAGAAGGTAGCAAGAGAATAAAGATACAATTTCTGCCACGTTGTACTGCATTCAGTGAGAAACATCTGACTGAATGTGTCAGTGATTTCATTAAACACCACCAGCCCTGCTGCAAGTTAGTACTGCTGGTTCATGCATTGGACAAGCAGTCAAAAGGATATTTATGCCCTTGGCAATCCTATTGAACTAATGCTTTTAAATAGCAAGAGTAGGAAAGCATAGATTGATATATAGAAAAAACAAAGAACTCAAGAC